TTCCCTGTTTCTGACACTGTAGGTTTGACAAGTCGCCCCATAATAATGTGTGTGAAGTGTCTGGCTCTTGTTGGCCTGGGGATATTATTAGGTGATGCCCCGCTTGAAGCTTGCAGTGCCTCTGACGTACTGGTCACTAGAGGCTGGGTGCTCCTGTACTGGTGTGTGGAACCTGCAGTCCAGCTGCTGAAGGTCACTGTGGCGATTCTTGCTGGTGGGATCTCGCTGTGTGCTGTGGGTGTGTCTTGTGCTTCCTGATGCACCAGGGGGTCCCTATGGTGGATAAAGATGGGGCTCTGGGTCTTCACCCGGCTGCATTCACGTGCAACACCTGTGTCTACAGTCCATCCCGGGATGGTGGATAATCCCACCTGGCGCTCGTTCGTCCACGTGGGTCGCCTGATTGTCCTCGATAGTGAGGCTCAGGGGGGTCCCACTCCGCACCGTCACACAGACAGCCACCATGACACCCCCTTAGCCAGGCAAGCCCCCTGAGACCTGCGTGGGTCCCCTCTGGACTCTCCAGGCTGGCGGAGAGAGACAGGGACTTGAGTGTCAGGCCAGGTAAGTGCTCACAGTCTGCAGGGGCGCTGTCTCCTCATGAAGATATCAGCTTGTATGAAAGAGTTTGCACACAATATGCTACCTCATCCTGCAGGAGGATCTCAGCCTCAGATAATTTCAAATTGTTTTCATCATCTATTATTTATGGAATAAAAAGAGAATGAGAGACTAAAAGAGTGCAGAAAATGACTGTTTTCAGAAGGCACGCTTGTTGAGATATGGAGTAAAAATGCAAAAACTATTACATTTATTCTAAAAATTTAATGATCAAATGAGTCGGGTACATTTACAGTGCCAGGCCTTCTTAAAGCATGAATGTTGCGGCATCTGCCTGATGGCCCACAGAGTTTTGATTGCCAGGATGCCAGCTGGAGACGTCCTGGGTCTGGTGGCAGATTTTGGAAGCTCTGGCGCCAGTGCAGGAAGATGAATGTGGGAATGTGTGACTTTGAGTGAGCAGGTAAAGGCTGGACTTTAATGACAAGTCCAGAGTGGTACAGAAATGAAGAATTTCATTATGTTCAGAACGCTGTTCGTCAGGGAAGGGGGGCCATCCGGTTGCTCTCCAGTCATTGACCCCAGAGCCCAGAAGGGCACCCACAGCCTGACCACACACAGTGGCAGTGTCCGTCTGGAGACCAGCCCCTGTTCTGAGTCCAGAGTCCAGCGGTGCTGCTCACCTCACTGGGATCTGAGTGCGCTGGACTGACCTCACGCCCCTGACCACTGCTCATGTCCAGTCCGCAGCGCGCGCGGCCAGCGATGCACTGC